TTTTGTTAATGAGATGTGAGGATATTGCCTCTCGAGACTAAACCCAAAAAGAGAGACTAGTGCCTGGCTAAAGCTGAACCACCATGTGGTTGGCCAAACTATTGAAGTTTACTTCTAAATTTTAAACGTTGAACAATTGAGACATCTTAGATAGACACTTGTCTTCCAACTTAACTACTGCGTTATTCATTCGTTACTTTTTGTTTTAGTTAAATTTTATGGAGATGAGTATCATTAGATGAAACGAGTAATTTTACCCCATAAAATTAAACAAGGTTATTTAATAGACTTGAGGCTTGATGTTTGGAAATTGATTTAAATGCAACCAAATCCTAAAATGTAAAAAAGATGTTTTGCCATTTTTAACAATAGTGTACTCTTACTCATCAAATTCAGCAACCCAAGTCCAAACTAATACTCCAAACATCAAATTTATAAAGATAAACGGTCCCCCCTCATCAAATTAACAAGGAGTGTTAATTTGCTTGAACGGTCCCATATTTGAGAATACACATACCCTATATAATTTTGCGTAATCTATAACGATATACGGTCCCCACTCATCAAATTCAGCAACTCATCAATTAGTCCAAACTAATCAAAATCTAAAAAAGCATGAATTTTCTTGGTTTTAGAACTAACAATAAAATTAACAAAAATTTAGTTAAGTTGATATCTATTAAATTAAGAATTCTAATTTTAAATGAAAATCAAGAGTTTAAACTTTTGTATTGTTAAGCAACTAATTTCTCCAATATAAAAAAAAAAAAAAACAACAACAACAACAAATCAATAAGCATAATTTCTGCTTTGGGATGTTCTTACATGATTCACTCCACTTCTCCCTTTGTCTCCGTCAATGATACAACTCATGAACAAAATAAACAATAACGACTACCCACACCATCCCCCACCCCTCCAGGGAAAAAAAAATAAATAAATCCACATGACGTACGAGAACATGTAACCCATACAGTAGAATGATGAAATTCTTGAATCAACCTTTCATGTGGTCTCAAATATAACACTAAGGAGGTAGCAAGTTTTAATTTAATAAAATAAATAGTACAACTTTATCGGAAAAAAAAAAATAGTACTGTAGTCCTAATTTGATGGATGCTAAGGGACATTATACACATAAAGAAGAGCAAATGAAATTTGCAGCCTTTGATGAGACGTGTTGAGACATTATTGGCCTAATAACAGCTCCAGATCCCGAGAAAGGTTTTTTTTTTTTGTTTACTTAATGAACTCAAAGATTAGGTGAAGTCCCCTTTTCTTCACTTTTCTTCATTCTTTGAGTTATTTTATAGAACTGGGCTTTGAACTCTTTTTTTTTTTTTGATAAACATTCCAATTCCATATCCTCAAGAGTCAAGAGATGATTCAAAATAAAGTGGGGATGGTCAATTATTGGTCCTCATCAAAACTTAAGATTCGAAAGTCTTAAAATAAGGTCCATTCAAACGCTTTGCATAGGATTCTAATCCAAGTCTACTCCACATGTGTTCTGTTTTGTTTTGTGTCCCCTTTTTTATTCTTTTCTTTCCTTCGAGTTTACTATCATGAAAGTAATATTGCTGAGAACCTTCCCACTATAATAATGGGTGTACAAGACGGTGGGTTTGGGGACCCGGGGAGGAGTTGTCATCTGCTTGCCCCTCAGAGAACTATTGAATGATATTCAATTGATTAAGCCCCTCACTTTTTTTTTAGAGTAATAGTCTAGCCAACTAATAGTTTGAGTCCAAGGTTGAGAGATACCTTTTCAAGAAGGGGATTTGGTCAACTAGAAATAGGTAAAAAAAAAAAAAAATAGTAAATGCCCCTTTAACTTAATTTTTAAGAAAATTTTCGTACCAAAAGTTAAAGTTAAATTTAAACTTATAAAACAAAAATTTTGTAGGAAACCCCTTGGTTAACAAGTTTTACTTTTTTATATAAAAGCTTTACTCAAAATTCTGCACAAAAAACACTTTCCGCGAAAGCCCTAGGTTGGCTAACAAATGCACTAACCTTGAAAGGGATTGATCGGTGGAAAAGACAGTGGGACTCCGGCAAGACTAACGGAGTTTTATGGGATTTGTGTTGTCCAAGTCAATCAGCTCTTTTGAAGCTGAAGCATCCATAGATCCCTTACCTATGAAAAGGATTTCCAACTCAGCTTTGTATTTGACAATTGACACCCTTTTGGTTTCCTTAGCAAGATGTTGACTTGCATGTTTCATCCCCACTCTCTACGCATGAACATGAATAGTCCACTGCATCTTCATCTCAATACCCACACAGATCAGCAAGAACAAGAATAAAAATGAAACAACTCAGATCCTCAATTAGTTCTCATGCATGGCAGAACCATAGAGATTCAATGTTATTTACAGTCGGTCTCGTAAAGTTAAAAAGAAAATAAAAATAAAAATAAAGAAAGAAACAAACTTCAACACGAGAAAATTAGCTTTTCATCATATAACTTCAAGACAAGAATGATACTATATCATGAAATTTTGAAAATATACAAGTAGATAGATATATACATATTCTGCTAGTTTTGGAAAGATTCTTGCAGACAACGGGTTGGGTACAGAGAAAAGGAGAAAAAGGAGAAAGAGCTTCTAAATTTTTCCATACAAAGAATGAAACAGGTAATGAACAGTACAGTTTCTTAAATTTCAAGAAGCTCATGATTTGTAAATTAAGCTAAAATTCCCATTTCCTTCCATTTATTTATAAAATCTTTGTACATAATAAAACCTCCCTACTACCCCTGCAAATTACCCTAAAAAAAAAAAAAAGGAAAATAAAAAGAAGCGGATTTAGCTAGCCCTTTCCACATGGCGTATGAAGACGGTTTCCAAATCCGGCGGAGTAAAAAACTCTCTGACACCGCTGTAGTTACACTTCAGCGACGGTTTCCGCTTCCTTGGAGGCGGAGGGCAAGGTAATACGGCTGGTATTCTGGCATCTTCCCCCGTCGGCGTCGTCGAACACTCGTCATCCTCCCCTTGACTAATCCCCTTACCTTTCTCCACCGGATTGGTGTATATCGGCTTCAACGGAGCCCGTAGAGGAATCCCAGCAGTAACCCACTTCCTCCCATCCGATTCCAACCCAACATCTCCCTGCGGCTTCCCTGACACCCCCATGATCTCGGATCAAATCAAATCCAAAACAAACCAGCAAAAAATTCCCAAGATTTTTAATAATACCCCAGAAGGGGAATAAGGAATAAAGAGGGAAAGAATAAAGATTGGGTTCTCTTTTTTTTTTTCTTCTTTTTCTGTGGGGATTGGAAGAATCGGGATGAAAGTAGAAGAAAAGTAAGGGAAAATGAAGAGAGCGTTTTAATGAAATCGGAAAGTGGAAAGTTGAATGTTGTGTGTTTATAGCGAAGAGAGAGAGAAAGAAAGGGAGAGACGAAAAAGAAAGGGGATCCGAGGAAACTCGTGACATAAGCAGTGAAATAGAAAGAGAGAGAGGGGAGGAATAATAACTAATAAGTGAGTGCCCGTGAAAGTGGCTGACCCGCGGGCAGGAGGGAAAGGGAGAGTCACTTGGATTTTGGCGCCAAATTCTTTAGGGGTTTGGGTGGGTTGAGTTGAGGGGACATGGGGATCATCAACGGTCCTAGTTTCCCGTTCTTTTCATATGCTTGTTTCTGATATTTCCAACATATTTTCCCAATTTTCACAAGCTGGTAGCCGGCTTGGCTGAGAAGGTCACCCTCTCTCATTTGGTTAATGACAATCCATCCACGTCAAGTTTAGATTATAGAATTTATAAAAAAAAAATTATAATTTTTATTACTTTTTTTTTAAGATTTAAATATTAATTAATAAGATGAGAAGCAAAATTTTATTTTTTTAATAGATTAAAATTACTTACATATTAATTGAAAAGAAATTTAGTGGAATTTGAACGGTTCTAATCCAAGATCTATGTTATTAGATCGAAACGAACCATTTAACAAAATTTTACTATTAAATTGTTGTTTCTTATATTAATTAATAACATACGTTATTCAAAATTAGTGTTGTACATTGGTTCATTTTTATTAATATATTGATTCATGTATGTTTAAGTAAGATTAACAACACCTTAATTAACCACATTAGTGTGCAAAAATTTCATTTGTTACGAGATATTGTCAATTTATATAGTTATAAGATTAAATCTTACACAGATTGTTAACTAGTGATCTCTTACATGGTATCAATAATGACATGATAAGAAGGTGATTGAAAAATATCCAAAAGTGGGAGTTTTTTTAATGAATCTTGACCACTAACCGTGAAAGAGATCAATTTGTGTAATCAAATAATCAATGCAAAGGTGAGTTAACAAAGGGTCTAAAATACTCTATTCAAAGTTTGAGTCCTTGCGTATGCAGCAGCTTTCGTTAGGAAACTCACACACCATTTTTAGGTGCGCGACTCAGGTCGGGTCCGGATTAATTGGGACGAAATCCCGGATACCGGGCGGAAAACCAAAAAAAAAAAAAAATACTCTATGCAATTGTTGCCAGATCATGTCATAAAAGAAACCATGTATGGATCGACTACAAGAAATTGGACTGAAAATGAGTTGTAAAGAAACTTTCTTTAATTAAAGTGCTTTTATCTTTTTCAATTTCATATTCCATATGTTTCATGCTCTTTTTCTTTGATGACAAAACCACGTCGGTTAAGTTGTACTTTAGCAATTGTTGATGGACGTTGACATCAAGCTGCAGTTCTTTGAAGAAACATGGTAATTGTGAAGATATCTCGGAGCAATGTCCGCATTAGAGGTTTTAAAGTTAAATTTTAAATCGGATAAAAAAGCTATGAGAATAAATGTGAAAAAGAAAAATTTTTAGTGATGCTGCACCATTTTTCTCTTTTTTGGTTCAACGAGATGTTGCATCATTAAAGCTTGTAATTTGTATAATAAAAAAATATTTAAGTTTAAATTTTAATACATACAAGAATTTAGGAGACGATACAATTTCAATTAAATAGACCACAATCAGATTTGCCACAAATTTCAAGAAAATCTATGTGCCACATGCAATTTCGTAAGAAGAATCCACGAACTATACAAATTTGGACTAAAAAAGATTGTAAAGGAAACTTTCTCTAAAGCACTAGTAGCTTTTTGAAATTTCATTTTCGATGTTTCATGCTCTTTTATTTTCTTGGAAAGATGAAACTGCATCCGTTAATTTGTTAAGCAAACTGTTAAGGGACGTGGATTGACGTCAAAGTACTGTCATCCAAGAACGAAGGTATTTCTCAAAACTAATAAAGAGCTGTCTTTACATTAGGGGTTTTAAAATTAAATTTTATGACAAGTGAAATGAGTACGAAAAAATGTGTGAAAAGGTAAAGAAAAGTATACAGTGTAGTTTGAATTAGAGACATGTTGGAATATAAGTATTTTAATAATAAAAAAATAAAA